TTTATTCATTTTTGAGAGAGAGCAAGAGACAGAGCGTGAGTGCAGGAGGGGCAGAGAGAGAGGGGGAGACACAGAATCAGAAGCAGGCTCCAGGCTCTGAGCTGTCAGCACACAGCCCGGCGTGGGGCTCAAACCCATGAACCATGAGATCATGACCTGAGCTGAAGTTGGGTTCTTAACTGACTGAAAAACCCGGGTGCCCCTGGCAGGTGAAATTTCTGAGCCAAGAATTGGGGACATGGGAGGTATTAAGTGTTGGAAATCCTCAAAGTACCAGGCTATCCAATCCCTAGTTTAGGATATGGAAACAGAGCATCAACATAATAGGCTGCAAACCTAAGTGCACCCTTTCATTTATTCTGGGGATATCTTTGGAAAGTCTCACCCAGGCTGCTTTTTTTTTTTTTTTTTTTTTTTTTTTTTTAAGAGGAAACATTTTTCCTGAGGCATTTCCTCTACTTGGCCAAACTAAATGTGTTAGATCTGTTCTTTTCAGATTTGCTTATTTCTGGCATCCTCCCTGCGTGGTTTCAGCATAAATAATATGCTTCCCTACCTACTACAAGCTATAGGAATCACTAGCATTTTAGAAAAGTGATGGTGGTAGAGTTAGTAACACTCTATAATCCATTGTTTCCATAGCAACTGGTGCATGTTTGCTGTTTGTACACGGACTGCCTTCATCACTCTCTTCAAACCACTTTAGAGCATGGACCATGTCTTAAATTTTTATTTCTGGTTCCTCATATGGTGCACAGTAGGTGTTCAAGAATGCTTATTAAATGCATAAAAAAATAAAATGAAATAAAAATGACTAAAATGAATTTTAAATGTGTATATATTTTTGTCTGCAGATATGTGTATATATGTATGAATTTTCCATTTTAAAAGTTTATTTGATGACTACTTTCTCAGCTAAGAAAAACCTCCAAAATAAATGTGGATTGATTAAGTCAAAACATAACACTTCTAATCCAATACTCAACATAATTACCCACATGAAAGGAAGCCAGATAAGTGAGGAATACATTATGTGACCATGCTGCAGCTGCAGAACATTGCCACATTTTCTTAGATTTGTCCTGCAGGGCCCAGTGAACCCAGGCCTAAAGGAATTCTTATGACAGCTCTCCCAACTGTCCTTCATGAGCTACTATTGCCAAAAGCTATAGAAAGTTAAGCAAAAAGCCTAAGCAGGGGTAGCAATATTTAAATATACAACCACCTAGTAGCCCTCATTTAGCTATTAGATTCCTGCGGTTCTGGAATTTTCCTTGAAGGATTTCATAGCCAAATCAAGCTCATTGGAATATTGATTATTCTTGCCACTGCTTTCTCCTCACGGAAGCTCCTGATTTGATGTCAGTTTGATACTTCTGTATATCAACCTCTATCTCTTATATAGACTTGAACCTTTAACTATTTGGGGTTAATGGTCAGAAATCAGATGTTGCTGTAAAGTAGGTCCTGAGTACTGGCCATGTCTTCTCTACATTCTAAGTGTAGTATATAACGTGCATATCCCCTGTGCAAGTTTTTTTCCCCCTTGTTAAATCCGTTGTCTCATAAAATGCTCCTTAAAATGTGCCTTTCACATCTCCTTTCTTCATTTCACAATAGTCAGCAAACATTTGGAGCCCTGCTCTGTGCCAAGCCCATTGCTGGAGATGAAAGACTAGACTAGGCCTGCCTTCAGGGAGCTTGAATTTGGTAAGAGAGGGAGATAGGACCCCCTCCCTTTGTGCCCACGTTCTTCTCCCCATTGAAGAATCTGACCACCTGGTCCAAATGGCTGCATGGGCTTGTGTGGCATTCAGGGATTAGCCAAGTGTTTTTCGGTAGACCAATTAAACGAAATCACTGAGAAGAATAATTAGGGTCCAAAGCCCCAAACTTAATCTCATATTAACCTGGAAAAATAGCAGCAGTGATTGCCATCTGCTGACATGCCACCCACAGACAGACAGTGAATGTTCTAGGCCGGCCAGGCCTCCCATGAGCAGGACCAGGAAAGTACCCCTGATTAGAGCAATTAGAGCAGCTCCCTGGGCCGGTTCTTAATTTGCTTAATCACACTCACTTCACTGGACTATGCCTTGGGCTTAGGGAGTTTTAGGGGAAGAAAAAAAATGCAAGGTTTGGGGAAAGAGAAAGGAAACAATTTGAGAGAGAGAATTCGAAGTCTCCTCTCTAGTCAGTTTAGGGTTGGCAGAAAAGGAGAATGACATCAATGACAAGGTGTAAATACGAGGAAGCTGATTTGGAAAATGGGTCCTTTGAGTCTCGTTTGGGTGAGAATCATTGAGATCACAAAGGAAGCAGCTGGTAAGTTCTGGAAACCTTTTTGTGTTAGCCCAGAATCTGAATAATGCACTAAGTGGAGTGTAGTGCATATATTTAAATATTTATGTATAATTGGCTGTTATTTCTTAGCCTGCTCTGCCATGGTCCCATGACTTGATACCCTTGCTTTTAAAATTTTTTTTTTTTCAACGTTTATTTATTTTTGGGACAGAGAGAGACAGAGCATGAACGGGGGAGGGGCAGAGAGAGAGGGAGACACAGAATCGGAAACAGGCTCCAGGCTCTGAGCCATCAGCCCAGAGCCTGACGGCCTGATGCGGGGCTCGAACTCCCGGACCGCGAGATCGTGACCTGGCTGAAGTCGGACGCTTAACCGACTGCGCCACCCAGGCGCCCCGATACCCTTGCTTTTAAATGATCGTTTTCTAGATACTAGAAAGGCATTGTACAGAAAAAGAGAAGAATCCTAGCATACCAAACAGGGAAAATGCAGAAGGAGACCAATTTCAAACCAGAAATCCATCATAGCAAGCTGTCTTTGAGAAGTTTTGAAAGTACTCTAGGGTGGGGACCGAAATGGAGGCGTTTGGAATTGGAGCCCAATTTAAATTCTATCCATGACTTACTTTGTAGTCTTGAGCAAGTTGCTTATCCTCTCTTTAAACTTTAAATTCATTGTCAAGTGGGGAGGACAACAGTGCCCACCTTACAGGGATGTTGTAAGAACTAAATGAACTAATGGTGTTAGGTACCTGACACCCATAGCCTTCAACAGATGTCAGCTTGGAAAAGGAAGTCATCCTGCGGGGGGACACATGGAGAAAACCAGCCAGTCCCTGGAAAATCGGCTCTCTGAGAGAAGGAACTTTATTTTAAGCACTGATGCAATGGCTGTGAACCAAGGTGCTCCATAAATATTGATTGAATAACTAAATAAATGTAGTAAGTCCATTTAGAGTGTTTAAGTTAGGTTATTGATGAAATTAATGTGCATTTTAAATAACTATAAGGAAATAATGGGTGAAAATTTCAAGTGTGGCAAAGGTGTATTTTTGAAACTTTTAGTCAGGAAAATGTTCCTTCTCCCTTTGCCCATCAGGGACACAGAGTTTGATTCCATTTTTTTCCCTAAGACCAAATGATTTGGGGAGCGTTTTTGTAACATTCTAGATGGTCTCTTCCTAGGTGCGGATTCCCCGTTCTTTTGCTGTTCTGTTTGGATTGTGTAAGAGTGAGAGAAGCACACGTTTAAACTACTGATGATAAATACTCTTCTTCCATTTGCTTCCAGAGTGTGACAATTTAGTATCCCCTTGTGATGGAGGGCAGAGGCTCAGAGGTGCAATACCTCTCTCTCATATGTAAGTAGGCCCCACTTGGGGGGTCTCTTCTGAACCAACCATCCATGGGCTACTTGGTTCTGCCCTTATCTGGGGGCAGTGTCTTCCTCTGGTCCCTGGGGTTTCAAGCTTTTGCACAGAGGGAGGGGAAAGGGATTGGCATTCTCCACCTAACCCTAGCCTGAAGTCATTTCTTACACCAGACGTGATGAACAAATACTGCCTTTGGAGGAAGGTATACAAATTTGCCAAAGAAAGGAATGCAGTTCTGGGACCTCCTAGCTACAGGATTATGTAAATCATTCAACACTAGTAAAGCTTAAGTTATGAAAGTAATTTCCATTTGTAGTGCAGCTAATTGGTCTAAGGAAATGGTGGCAGGGGATGTGTTCTATAACTTCTCAGGAGGTAGCCCTGGCTCTAAAGAGAGAGTTTCAAACTCACCTCTAAGATGTTACATGTGGATAGCTAATATTTGAGTTCGTAAGTTCATACTATCTTCCAGACATTATTCTAAGTGTTTGAGACATATTAAGTCACTCACTTGAGGTCATTATTGTTTATCTCCTTTTTACAATGAGGAAACTGAGGCACAAGGAGGTTAAATGACTTGTCCAATGCTTGCACTAACTTTTAACGCTTGATTACGTGTAAGGAAATGGAAATCCTGAGAAATAGACCAGGTATAGAAAAATATTTAGCTTGTCACTCAGCCAAAGAGCAGGAATCTGCCCCTTGCTTTAGGTGCACAAGGAACCATTGCTTCCTTTCCTATGGAAGCGAGTCATAGCCCCCTCTTACCATGAAGACTTGATGCTAGGGACTAAGAGAAAGGGTTCCCAGGCTGCTGCCTCTTTTCTACTTGAAAGCCTGAAATCTGGAATCTCAGAACCTCTAACGGAGTCATGGGGATGACCTATTTCTAATATTTCAAGGAACCTAACAGAAATTGTTCACTTACGGGCAGCCAAACAACCTGGGCTAATAAGTGTATAAAAACATTTTGTTTTGCGTTTGTCAAAATTATGTATCATGTTAATAATTTAGTTATCTTGTGTGGGTCAGGTACTTTTCATGGCAATTGTATGTTTTTAATCTTAAAGATGGGTAACTATCTTCTACATATGGTTTAGCTAAATCATTCTAAACACGGAATCTAGGGTCTGGAGTAGGGGCAAAATAGAAATGGACTTTGGAGATGGAAACATTAGCCCCTATTGGACTATTGTGCAGAAGATGTGTTGCTTATACTCAACAACCACAACATACTCAAATGGATAGCATGTTTCTCTTCTGTAGGAAGGCAGTGCTTTCTACATGTTTATCTATCTTACCTACTTTTTTCTGTTCTTACAGATCACTGTGACCGTGTTCTTACTAAGGTCTCGGGGAGACTTTACTGATGAAATCTGTAAAATGTAATCAGGTTGGTGAATTCTCTGATGTCCACATCCCTACCATCACATGATACACTTCAAAGCCAAATAAAAAATGCTATTTTGTGTCATCTCATCTTTGGCTTTTCCAAGCCCCTGGTCCAGTAGAACTATTGAGCTTTAACTAGATGGTAGGTACTCAATCATAAACTATAGAGCCAAAAGAATTCTTTGTTTGAATTTAAATTTTGAGTCTTTTATGATTTATGTGGGTAAAAAAACCAAACCAATAAAATGGGGTATACTCTGAGAAGTCTTCTTCCTACTTTTGCCCCCTCTTACTATTTTTTTAATGTTTATTTATTTTAGACAGCTCGAGTGGGGGAGGGACAGAGAGGGAGACAGAGGATCTGAAGCAGGCTCTGCACTTGCAGAGCCCGGTGTGGGTCTCAAACCCATGAACCGTGAGATCATGACCCAAGCCGAAGGTGGGCACTTAACTGACTGAACCACCCAGACATCCCTTATACTATTTTTTACCCTGTTCCTTCACCTACAGTTCATCGCTCCTATTAGTTTCCTGCATATTGTTACTGAGTGTATTTATGCATATATAAGTAAATGCATATGGTAATTCTTTAAGTTTATTTATCTATTTTTGAGAGAGAGAGCGTGCACACGCAAGGGCGAGCACATGAGCAGGGGAGGGGCAGAGAGAAAGGGAGACAGAGAATCCCAAACAGGATCCATGCTGTCAGCACAGAGGCCGACGTGGGGCTCAACCTCATAAACCCATGAGATCATGACCTGGGCTGAGATCAAGAGTCTGATGCTTAACGAACTGAGCCACCCAGGCGCCCCCATATAGTAATTTTTATTGTTTTCTCTCCAACACACAAAAATAACGTGATATTCATATCTCTATATCTCTCTCCATTCAGATATATATGTATATATAATCTGTATCCTAGGGCTTTTTCACAGCATCATACAGGGAACGTCTTTGCTGTGTTCTATTCCATTGTGTATGCAGAGTTTTAAACATGCACACACACACACACACACACACACACACACACACACGCGCTTTTTGATGGACACAGATTGTTTCCAATCCTTTGCTATTATAGTGCTGCTATGACTCTGATGACAGTGTTATCATTGTGCATGTGTACAAGCCATCTTTTGAAGAAATTCCAAGAAGTGAGATTTTGGGTAAAGGGTAAATACATTTAAAAGTTTAATAATGTTACCAAATTGCTTCTAAGGGGTCATCTTTCCACAATCAATGTATGCAAATAACTGGTTTCCCATGGTCTCCTTAAAACACAGAATTAGAATACATTTTTATATGAGACTAGTCAAAATCTGAAAGTTTAAAGTATACTTTTTGGTTCTCATTTCTCCTATTTGAAAAGATGCTTAACTTTTCTCCTGGTGTTTAAAGACCATTTTGTTTATTTTTCTATGAAAAGGCTGTTAATGTTCTTTGCTTATTTTTCTGTTAGGTTGCTGATAATTTTCTTATTGATTTCTAGTAGCTCTTTCCATATTAGTGAGATTATCCATTGTTTTGTCTGTGACGTAAGTTGAAAAAAAATTTTTTTCCAGGTTGTTACTTGTTTCTCGATTCATACTATCTTTTGGTCATACGTAACTTATTTAATGTAATTGAACGTATCAAACTTTAATTTTATACTTTCTGAGTTTTGAATTACAAATGGAAAGGCCTTTCCCCCCTCCAAGGAAGTCACTCATATTTTGTTCTGGTACCTTAAGAAAATTTTATTATGGAAAATTTTAAGCACATTAGATAAATTAGGATAATAACAGATAATAACAGATTCCCATGTGTATTTGAGTGTATTTCTGGATTTGCTGTTCCATTTGTCTAACTACTCATGTGCAAATACTATGCTGTTTTAATTACTATAGCAATAGAGAATGTTTTAATGTCTATCCAGAGTAGTTATTCCCTAAATGAGATAGTCATCTACTCCAAGTCATGCTCTATAAAAATGGGAGAAAATTATAGTTGGTAATCCAACCTCCTCAGGTCAGGGATAGACTTGATTTAGAAGTTGACAAGGAATGGGAATTGTGCGAGTGAAGGCGGTCCCCAAGGAGAGTAGTACTATTAACATACTATAGGAAGGTAAATAGTAATTACATAAGAGCATGAAACTCAGGGCAGGTCCTCATCTAGAAGGTGGGATGAGGAAGAGGAACCCACGAAGGAAAAAGGACATGGTTCTGGTGGCTGAAGCTTGCTTTGCCCTTTTAAATAGCCAATCCTGGTTCTCTTTGGCAAAGTCGGAAGGCTGATAATAGAGAAGGTGGAAATATTTGCTGTATGTATGCTCCGGGGAACTGGTCAGAGACTTGAAATCTGTCGCAGAGCAACAGCCCGGGTGAAGTGTGGCAAGCAGCCCATGCTGTCATTCTGCTCTGGGCAGTTCACAGGTCTGGACTCTGTGGGTAGTCTGTGCATAGGTTTGTGTCTCTGTGGGTGCAAGGGTGAACCCCCTCCCCTTCCCCGCCCCCCATGCATATCTCAGGAAGGGCAGTGAAGATGATACTTCTCAGCCTTCTTTCCAGGAGACAGTACTAAATCTGCCTAACAAGATATCTTTGCTGAAAAAGATCTGAGAGCGAGGACTTCTAATACGAGTGCTCCTTGGGGGGCGCCTAGGTAGCTCAGTCGGTTAGGTATCTGACTTTGGCTCAGGCCGTGATCTCACTGTTTGTAGGTTCAGGCCCTGCATTGGGCTCTGTGATGGCAGCTCAGAGTTTGGAGCCTGCTTCGGACTCTGTGTGTGTCTCTTTCTCTGCCCCTCCCCAACTTGCACTCTCTCTCAAAAATAAAAACATTACTATGAATTCTCCTTGGAAATATATCCAAAGTATTTAGTAGGGTCAAATCATAATTTCTCCCCCCTTTGAAATGCACATATCTGCTATACTCTGTCTATACCCACATTAAAGCCCAGAGAATGTTAAGATGGTCAAAACATGGGGAAAAGGCCTAGGTTTGGAGTGGGTATAGATACTGAACCTGGATCATTGCTTTATGACTTCATTCCCCAGCAGACACCCTTAATAGCCTTTGGCACAGCCCATGACCTTCTCATCTCCAGTTTCCTCTTTATAACCTGCAGATGAGCACAGAAAACTTACCTTTCACAGGGATGTATGGGGAAGATTAATTAGTTTTCAATGGGAAAGTTCTTTGACAATCAGTCATGTGGTATAGTGTGCTAATTTGAGTCTGCACAGCCATGACTTGGGGTAGCAGCCTGCTGCCCAAACCCTGACACTAGAGGGTAAGTGGAAATCGGTCTGCCTCAGCGTCAAGGATATGGACTTTGCAAATTGAATGAATGTGTGAAGTCAACCTTAGTCAAGCATTTATTCAACACCTATTAGCTGTCTGCCCTGTGCGAACAGTATGAGGCAGTCATAGTGGGTGCTGTGTGCATTGGCGGGGGGGAGGTTACCAAGGAGTGATAAACCTGAAATGCAGGCACTGTACTTACTGCTAGAGTGGTTATTACCCACAGTGGTGAACAAAAGCCCAGAACTGCAACTCTGGACTAGAAATCATCTGCCATCAATAGTGTGAGCTCAGCATCAATTACGGTGGGCTCCATGTTCCGGCGTACTGAGTAGTAAGTAGGGTCATGGGTGCTTACTCAGTTCTTCACTTTTCAGGTGCTATCCTTACCACATCCCTAAGCTAGTCTTCCCCTTAAGATGCTTTCAGTGAAGGGAGTCTTTGAATCCACTAACAAAAGGGAACTAGAAAAGACTCCCTTTTTTGGCCTTTTTGACTTTGTTGTTGCATGCCACTGTTTTAAAATCTACATTCAAGGTGTGCTTTAAGTACAAGGTAAAAGGGACTATTTTAGGCATTATTACAGAACACTTTCTCTGCCAGTAAGGAGTTTTATGGTCTGGAAATTGGTACAGAATATGGATGAGATCTCCGTGTACATTTTGAGCTGAACTTTTCCTCCACCCTCTTTCGGTTGTCCTTGAGTGAGGGTAGGAGGGAATGGAAGAGAAGGAGGGGAAAGAAAATTAAGAAAGGTGGGTATGAGTAACCTTGGGAGGTGAAGTAAAGGGCTTTTCTGGGAAAATGAGGCTACCAGGAACATTATTCCAGTAGGAAGGTTTGGTACCACAGAAGATGAGAGGTTACCAGATGCCTAACCAAAGGGGGCATTTCAAGAAAACATAGTCACGTAAAAATTAGTGTTGTTTCTCAAAATGTAAGATCTTAGGAAGGAGACTATAGGGCAAAGCACCGTTACATTAATATGGGATTCCAGTTTACAGTGGATTTATTATACTCAAGTACACTTACATTTCTGTGTAGATATTTACAGGTGCTACAATGCAATAGGAGGTACTATACTGAAACCTGAATGTACTAAGGCTTCAGTGGGCTTCAGTGCTGTGTCCATAACAACGTGTGTTCTTTTTTCGCAGCTTCTTGATTGAAGTTCAAGAATTTTGCCTATCCTCTGCTTACTTATTTTTTAAATTTTTAAAAAAATTCATTTCTGAGAGCCTGCGTACACACACTTGAGCAGGGGAGGGGCAGAGAGAAAGAATCCCGAGGAGGCTCTGGGCTAACAGCTCCAGGCTTGAGCCCGCAAACCATGAGAACATGACCTGGGCTGAACTCAAGAGGAGGACGCTTAACGGACTGAGCCACACAAGTGCCCCTATCCCTCTGTTTGTTTAATGATATTCTTCAGTGATGGTAGGAGCAGAAAAAGCTGAATTTTGATGGGTTTGTGATATTTGCATGAGATTATAACATATTCTTCAGCTAGATTTATCTATTTAATATTCCCATTTTCTTTCGAAAGCCTTTGTTCTTACCTCGATTGGTTTATAGCATAAATTCAATTGTTGCTTTACTATAAGCCAACAGTAATATTCGCTCTTATGTTCTCCTAGTAAAGCAGTACTGTTTATTCACTACAGCTGTTCCTACTCTAAGTCTGCTATAACAATAAGCCATGATACTTTGGTCCAAAGT